CAAGAAGAATATCATCAGCAAAAAGCATACACCAAAGTACATCCTCTTGCAAATGTCTAGTGAGAACATCCATGACTAAAGCAAAAAACTATGGACTTAAGGCTGATCCTTGATGTAATCGAACCGAAATAGGAAAATACTTGGTCAAACCACCTTGCTCTTGCATACATATCTTTAATGATTTGAATATAAGCGTTATTAACTCCTTTCATTTTAAGAACTCTCCATAGCAGTTCTCTTGGAACTTTATCATATGCTTTCTCTAAATCAATAAATATCATATGTTAATCCTCTTTATTCTCTCTATATTTCTCCATCAAACCTCTCAATAAATATTATGGCTTCCATAGTAGACTGATCCGGTATGTATCCAAATTGATTTTGAGAAACATTAGTATCACGTCGCAACCTATGCTCCATAACTCGCTCCCAAAGTTTTAAAGTATGGCACTTTAACTTAATTCCTCTATAATTCACACACTTTTGTGCATCGCTTTTATTTTTAAAAATAAGAATTAACATACTCATTCTCTACTGATCTGACATCTTTTTAGTCTTCAAAATAGTATTAAAAAGTTTCGTAAACCAAGAAATTTCTTCATCTCCTAAGCATTTACACGTCTCTATTGGAATATCATCAGATCCAACAACTTTTCCACAGTTCATTTTCTTTAAAGCCTCTCTAACTTCAGTTTTAATAACATTGTCTTTGCCAGGTCCCAAGTTTTGGATGAAAAAAGTGGAGGGTTGCGTTAGGTAGTCGACAACCAGTATAAAACTTATCGAATAATCGTGACATAAATCTTTTAAGTTTGCATGGTCAATTATAAAAAAATTATTAGACAATTCTTAAATAAAAAAATTATTAATAATTCTAATCTATAATGATCCTTAATTAGAAATAGAATTATTAATAATTTATTAAATCAAAACTATAATTATTAATCTTTTTTATTATTATTACTTGAAAATTATATTTCATAAATAATTTAATTAAAACTGACTAAAATATCTCTTGATTTAACATCATTAACTCCAAAATTTAATGTTAGGACCAAAAAGGCCACCTTTTAAGGAGTTGAGGGACCAAATTGGTCCCTCAAAAGAGTTGGGGACAACTTTGATCTATCACAAGAGTTGAGAGATCATTTTGATCATTTTCTCATTTAAAAATATAATGTTTATAAATTCATTAGGTAATATACACCTAGGTTTGCTTTCTCTATGATTTATTGATGAGGTAGTATTTATAAAGTTTTATCACATAATGTATTTCATGTATAACACTAGGTAATTCATACTTATGGAAAAGGGAAAAAAGTATAGATCTAGTTGACATGTTGTTCCACCTATAGAGGAAATTGAAAATACCCACCATATTAGGGGATTCTGATGAGGAGATAAAAGTTCTCTTCATGATGAAAAGTATACGAATTATCATCTCAAATATTTGTCTAAGCAAATCAAGAATGGACCATCCTACCCTGATTAGAAAGCCTTTTGATATATGAAGAAAGAAAATGAAGAGCAACATCAAAAACACGTGAAAAGAAAAACTCATAATTGCAAATGATTGTAGTTGTCTCATTCACCCTGTAAGCATGAATGCATATAACACTTAGTATAGTCCTCAAGGTGTTAAAGATGTCATAGGCAAGGAGTTTGATAAAGATGTCTACTAGTTGATTTTTAGTAGCTATATAATGCAATTTTATCTCTCTAAGCTACATGATCTCTAATAAAATGGTGTCTAATGTCTATATGCTTCGTGCGGGAGTATTGCATCGGATTTTTGGAAATGCAAATGGCATTAGTGTTGCCACACATGTTAGGAATAGTGCCTACATATAATCCAAGATCTAAGATTTATTGCTTTAGTCTATTAAATCATTTGGTGATCCAATCTACATTGAAGGATAGAATAAAAAATTCCTTATCTCTATATGTAAAGTTCCAAGAAATTATAAAGAAAATGCAGGCAGGACATATGGAAGATTTCGTATTGGGTGATGAAGGATTATTGAAATATTAAGACAGAATTTGTATTCCAAATGCTGAAAATTTAAGGGAATAAATATTACAAGAAGCTCACATCTTTGGTTATGAAATTCATCCAGGGAGTTCAAAGACGTATCAAGAATTGAGAGAATTATTTTGTTGGCTAGGATTGAAAAGAATTGTTGCAGAATTTATAGAAAAATACATTCCCTGTCAAATGGCTAAAGCTGAATATCAAAAGCCAGGTAGTTAATTATAACATTTACGAATACTTAAATGGAAATGGGAAAAAAATTGCAATGGATTTTGGGATTGGGTTACCAAGGTCAAGTGATGTAGACACACAAGAAGAAATTGTTGCAATGGATAGAACTTAAAACAAACTTTATTAAAATAAAAGCAGACAACTAAGACTTGACAAACACAACAAGAAATATTAGGAGAAATAAAGAAAAATAAAAAGACGCTATCCTCAGACAACCGTCAGAGCGGGTTCCTCACATGCATCGAATTGTAGGTTAAATAAGAAAAGTGCATAAGACTAGCAAACCGATGGTCCACCACTGCAAGATTGTCCAAATGCTCCCAAATCAACCAAAACACGACACCCTAAAGTTGCTTCACTGTTGAGAAGAAGGATACAGATGGAGTGGCACTTGCGGAGAGACGAAGAGGTTAGAAGCCCGAGAAGAAGGGTGGAAAGAGCCCGCAGGATTTCCAAACAAACCAGCAGGTTTAATAGCAAATATGCTCACAAATATCAACTGCCTTCATTCTCAACATCTTCTCTTATTTATAGGCATAGTAAAGGAATGCCAAAAGCCAACCTTAGTTAATGTTCACAACATCCTAAGCATCATTTTTCATAGGATTTCCAAATGCCACTTCGGAAAACAGCCCAGCATAAATCCTGAAGGAACAATTACGGGAATCAAAGGTAGTTCACGGAACGAAGGAGCCAACATCTCGGAAGCAAGCAGGCCGAGAAATCAAAGCAACACAGCCACGGGAAAAACACCCCAGCACGAAAAAACAGAGGCCGACTGGACTCCAAAGGGGTAAAGCACAAAAATCAGTAACTCCATCATAAATTCTAATGCATCAAATTCAGCCCCCATTAAATACAAGCCACGGTTTTCCAAGAGACAAGAAGAAGGGGGAAAGGGGAAGGGACAAGGCCACTCCAAAAGTAGTTCTTCTTAATGAGGTACCCTTTGAGAATAAATAGCTACTAAACTCCAGCTTCAAGCAAATAAAAGAACAAGCTCAATACCATGTGCTCCAAAACAGCCAACCCGTGAACAATCAGTAGCCAAGGACCAATCATGCCAGCAAATCAAAGGTCTACCAAGTCCTATGCACAACCTACCATGATCATTAGATGTTATCCCATCATTGGATAGCTAAAAAGAAAATAAAATAAAATAGAAAATAAAATATACTATTGTTCAAATAAAATAAAAAGTACAGAAATTCTTGATAGCATCAATTCTCCCCTGGTGGAAAATTCTCATCTCCTGATGAGAACGTATCAGCAACTCGTTCATAAAGCTCCAAGTTTTTCTTTTTCAGATCAGCAGCATCTATCCAGGTACAATCAGTCAATGGTCGATTGTTCCATTTGACTAGGAACTTTTTATGTTCTCCATGCTTTGTTTTAATAGCTTTCACATCAATAACATCTTCGATTTGATCTTCAGACTTTATCAAAGGAGCAGAGAGTGGTAAAGTTTCAATATCTACAAAATCGTCAGAATCTCCTTCATATAAAGACAGGTCAGAAACATTAAAAACAGGAGAAGTGCCAACAGTATTTGATAAATCCAGTAAATAGGCATTAGCACCTAATTTTTTAATCACACGAAATGGACCAAATTTTTTTCTGCTTAACTTTTTAAAAGTGCCAACAGGAAACCTTTGGCGACAAAAGTAAGCCATCACTAAGTCACCTTCATTGAAATTTACTT